TATTTTTTTGAGAAACGAGAGTGGATTTTACATGCCACCACACTAGCACTAGTTGGGCCTAATTTCTCATGCTACTACACTAGCACTTATTGGGCCTTTTCAAGGGGAATACTTAGCCCATATGCTATATGGGCTCCCCCAACACATGATAAATTAAAAGCACTCCTCAACTACTTGAAAGTACAGGCAAGTAGGCAAGGCTGAGAAAAAATAGAATCAAGTAGGTAAGCCTGAGAATAAAATAGAATCAATTGACTTGCAACTTAGCACATAAATATAATTAACATAAGATGTCATTATTATAAGCAAGTTTATGAAATTTGTAGGTTTTACTGTCCTAACAAAATTAGGATAAACAAGTTAGGCATTTATAGGTTTTACTGGTGAAAGGTCCTAATGGCTAGAGAGAGGTGAATAGCCCATAAAAAATTCTACAACAACACTTAAGCAAGGTGGTAAGACAATTAAGAAGCGAAGCGAGTATTGCGCTAGCCTACTTAAAAATGCAAGCCTCCTATCCACAATTCTAGTTGTCTATGATCTCTATGTCACACAAGAGGCTAAGTCACTACCACTAAGTTAGTGAGCTCTCAAAGACTAACTAAAGAGCCTCACTAACCACTAGACAAGACACAAGCTAGCTCTCAAAACTAATTACACTAAAGAGCTTAGCTACACTAGGAAGGTAAACACAAGAGTGAGGTAGTGAAGTTATACCACCGTGGCAAGAGATGATCAATCAATCACAATGAATACCAAGAAATCCTCGGGACAAGATGACACAATGATTTATCCCCGAGGTTCACTTGCTTGCCGGCAAGCTACGTCCTCGTTGTAGCAATTCACCCACTTAGAGGTTCATGCGCTAATAGGCATCACACGCCTAACCCGCAATCAGGTGCCGCACAACCAACACAAGATAGGGATCCACAAGCTACGAGCAATCCACTAGAGTACCTTTTGGCTCTCCGACGGGGAAAGGTCAAGAACCCCTCATAATCACCACGATCGGAGCCAGAGACAATAACCACCCTCCACTCGACGATCCTCACTGCACCAAGCCATCGAGGTCGTGGCAACCACCAAGAGAAATAAGCGAATCCCGCAGCGAAACACAATCACCAAGTGCCTCTAGATGCAATCACTCAAGCAATGCACTTGGATTCACACCCAATCTCACAAAGATGATGAATCAACGATGCAAATGAGTGGTAGGGCTTTGGCTTAGCTCATAAGGTTGCTACGTCAATGAAAATGGCCAATAGGGTGAGCTATAGCTGGCCATGGGGCTTAAATAGAAGCTCCCACGAAATAGAGCCATTGGGTCACATAAGTGACCGTCAGACTCGGCTACACGGGGCCGTCGGACCATCCGACGTAGGGTCCGATGCCCGGCCATAGCCACTCCCATGTTGCCACGTGTCCTAGTCAAACGAGCCGACCATTGGCTCCAATGGTCAAGAAGTCACGCGCTGATCACCACGATCGGACCCAGACCGTCGGACCCACCGTCGGACTCCACCCAGGGAGGAGCAGCGTGGTCGATGGAGGTCGAGAGAGGTAAAACCCTCGAGGCCGGTCTGTCCCGCCACCGGCGGAGACTCGAGGTGTGAGTCCGAAACAACCGCCACGTGTCACGTCCACACTCACTCACATGCGCGGCACTGAATAAATAGTGCGCGCGGTGGTCAGTCAATTGACCCGCAAGCCCCGATCGACACGCCTTCTCTCACGTACATCGCGTTAGGGTTAGCGATCAGACCAGAGCGAGGGCCGGTCCGACGCTCAATGAAGCAGGGTTCGACGCCCCTGTTTCAACTCCTTTTGATCTCTAACTTCACCACCCTTGCTTAAATGTGCCAACCACCAAGTGTATCACCTTGTGCACGTGTGTGTAGCATATTTTCACAAACATTTTCAAAGTGTTAGCACTCACTAAAATCCAAATGCATATGCAATGAGTTGGAACATCTAGTGGCACTTTGATAACCGCATTTCACGGCAGAGTTTCACCCCTCTTAATAATGCGGCTATCTATCCTAAGTGTGATCACACCTACTAGGTGTCTTGATCACTAAAACAAAATAGCCCTATCAAATTCACCTTTGCCTTGAGCCCATTTTGTTTTTCTCTCTCTTCTTTCAAAGCCCGAGCACTTGATCATCACTATGGCTATCACCACCATCATCATGATCTTCATCATTAGCTTCACCACTTGGAATGTGCTTCCCTATCTCATGATCACTAGAGCAAATAGGTTAGCACTTAGGGTTTCATCAATTCACCAAAACCAAACTAGATCTTTCACTTGGTAGCCATGTCCTAACTTGAAATTACTATAAACAAGTTTGAGGCATTTATAGGTTTTATCGAGCTCTGTCCCTTGTCCATTGTTGGCTACCACCACCTCCACCATCACCATCACCATCACTAGCAAAGACCAAAGACCACTGAGGCTTTTTTAGACATAGGCATGTTGCTACCCTCATCTTCCACACGAGTTCTCTTTCCCCTATTATTTTCACAGCAAAGAAAGATATGCAAGAAATTACAACGGCATGCAAGATATGAATGGAATTACAACGGCCCGAAACAAGATAAAAAACAGGAGCAATGGGGATACTGCAGTCAGTCTATGTATGTATGCAACCGTCTATGTAAATTATCTCTAGCTAGTTTGCCTTAGAACGATACTCTAACCATTCCAAATTAGAATTCACTGTCCTAAGTCAAACATCTCTAACTTGACCAAGTCTATAGAAAAAATGACACAACACCTACAATCAAAGTAGCTCCATTAAATTCTATGCAAATATGTATTGATGTGCATTTTACAAACTTGGGTATCATTATAGATTTTTAAAGAACTTGGTTAAATTTAGAGAAGTTTCACTTATGACAAAGTCAAAGTGAATAATAATCTAGAACGCAGTATTAGTTTTAATTAGTAATTACATTGAACAAGCTTGTGATGAGAAAGCAATGGCAGAAACCTTGCTAAAAATATTGTCTCAATTATAAATTGGAACAAAAAAAACTACTAGCTAGTATTCTTTTGCAATTGAAACATAAACGTCACGAGATATTATAAATTGGGGTTTACTGAAACTAACACAATGATTAGCGGTTCAAAACTAACAACGAATACAAATAGCACTAATCACATGTGCTACGAGAAAGGCCAATCACAAACACTTTGGTTCCTTTGTGACAATCGCACTTAAGAATCCAAGCCCTAAATAAATAAGTTTTAATTTTGCAGCCAGGAAAGAAATCAACTAAACAGTTATCATATAGGTATGTTCTTTCAAGAATGCTCCGTAGGATAGCACCTTCGTTTGTTAAAGCCAATAGAACACATTAAGGCATTCGCCAACCTGCCTTACAACGCCTCATAGCTCTGAGAGTATTGCATCTTCACTTAGAGAGGGTTATAGGTTACTCTCTCTTCAATTTACCAATAGTTTGTTCTTCCCAGGTCCTTAGTCATGGGATTTTCGATCAAAAAGGTTGGGATACTACTATTGTAAACTCACATGGGTCTCATACCCATCTCCCTTGATGTGTTTTCTATCACATTCCGTGATAGCCCTTTTGTAAAGGGATCTGCCAGGTTTTTGTCTGTTTCAACATAAGCCACAATGATTACTCTGGAGTTTTGTTGACTTCAAGCGTCCTTTAACGTGTCCTGTTGCCCTCGAATTATCCTTAGCACTGTTCACCTTAGTATTCACCGTTTGTTTATCACAGTTCATAAGGATAGTCGGTATTGTTTTTCAACCACCGGCAAGTCCAACAAGAGCTTACACAACTTTTTTGCCTCTGTACAAGCTGTATCCAAAGCATTAAATTCTGCCTCCATGGTTGACTTCGTCAAAATTATGCATTTGCAAGACCTCCATGACAACTGCGCCACCTCCAAGAGTAAACACATACCCACTTGTAGGCGTAGATCGATCAATATCGAGATATCCATTTGAATCACTATAGTCCTCAAAGCACAGCTAAGGCCTAGAATAGTGAATCTCATAGCTCATTGTACCTTTAAGATAATGCAATACCCTTTCAAGTGCATGCCAATGATCATCACCGACATGAACCTACTCAACTTGCTCACAGCCAAAAAAAAAATGTGGTCGTGTTGCACTAGCTAAGTACATGAGTGAACTAGTTATTCTCTTGTTTTTTCTTAATGTCACACTGAGATCATAAGGTGTTGGAGAAGGCTTGCTATCCATAAAGCCAAACCGGCTCAAGTCCTTCTCAATATAGCGAGATTGCAACAAAGTAATCCATTCTTTATCATTAACTAACTTGATGTTTAGAATCATGTGTCGAACGGGCCTAAAATCTGTTATGGTACACAAGTTTTTTTTTTTGAGAAATTGTTATGGTACACAAGTATGAGATAAAGGAAAAAAATCGTAGTTGCAGACCTGTGTCTACCTCTTATGGGCTCAAATCATGCTAGTTTTAGTTGGGCTTAGAGGGCAATTTGGGCCTAACTCGTACGAGCAATAATATTGAGTTCTAGATACTGAGCTGAAAATTTTCAATTGAAACTCTTCCGTTAAAAGTTTTCAAAAGAAGGAAACAAGGAAGAGAAAGTCATAATAAATCTACATGGAAGGGAGATATATAGAATATAATTTGTAAATGCTATAATCTTTGCATGCATGTACAGAATATTTATAGTAGTGAGTGTATACAATTTCTGGTTATACCATATTATTTTAAATCTCGATATTCATTAGAGAAATCAGATGCCAAAAATGCACAGAAGATTTTATTCTCCGTTTATTTGGTGCTATATCTGGCATCAGCCCAAATAGTAACAACAGAGTCAATGACGATTGATGATCCGCCAAATGTTCTCTATAAAAGAGAATTCAGGTACAAGTTCAGTAGTATACCTGTTGTTTCTTTTCTTGAGATCGAGACTTGAGATTGAGAGGGCTACAGGAAGCAACTGATCTGTTCGATCGTCAGGACAAAGAACAATGAAGCACGCAATTCTTTGCCTGCAAATCTCTCTGTTCCTCTCCAGCTTCTCCTATTCGATGCAGGCCCAATACAGCTCGATTTTTAGCTTCGGTGACTCCTACACCGACACCGGCAACAAGGTCATCCTCTTCGGCCCGACGACGCCAGGCCTGCTGATCAACAAACCGCCGTACGGGATGACCTTCTTTGGGCATCCCACCGGCCGCCTCTCCGACGGCAGACTGGTCATAGATTTCATCGGTAAGTTTCTTCCACGGCGAGCGTAGTTTCGTTTGCTCCTTAATTATCTCGACGCCGGCAATGTAATGCCGGCATGCATGCTGCACCTGCATATACCTGATCGATTGATTCACGCCGCCCGTTTGGCGTACGGTGTGGTCCCACGCTGCAGCCCAGGCACTGGGGCTGCCTCTCCTTCCGCCGTCACTGTCGAAGAATCAAAGCTTCAAGCAAGGCGCAAACTTCGCGGTGGCTGGCGCCACGGCGCTGAAGACGAGCACGAGCCCAGCGGCGTTCTACCCGCAGGCCGCCGTCGGCAGCGCCAAGCCTCCTCCGAATAACGTCTCACTCAGTGACGAGCTGGGGTGGTTCGACGCCATGAAGCCCTCGCTTTGTGGCTCACCCCAAGGTACGTAACTCATTGGTGTGAGACGCCACGGCATCATCCTGATACATTGGTGCTCATGTCAGTTGTTCTGTACGTAGTACGCGATACTGATGTGTACATAGCTGATGCGCTCTGTAGCATGCAAGGAGTTTTTCGGGAAGGCGCTGTTCGTCGTCGGCGAGCTGGGTTGGAACGACTATGGCGTCATGCTGGTCGGCGGCAAAAGCGTCGCTGAAGCGCAGGCCTACGTGCCTCGGATCGTTGCAACAATCGTTGCTGCCACGGAGGTACGTACGGTCGAACTGTAGCTTACATGCATGCATGATCCATGCACCGACCTATCTCGCACGGCAAGCTGATCACTCCACTACTGTCGGGTGCATGCATGCAGAAGCTGATCAACGACGGCGCCACGGCGATCGTGGTGTCAGGGATCTCGCCGATGGGCTGCGCGCCGGGGAACCTGGTGATGCTAGCGAGCCAGAACGGGGCGGACTACGAGCCGGACACGGGGTGCCTGAAGGGCCTGAACGATCTGTCCAAGGCGCACAACGCGCAGCTGAGCCAGGCTCTGACGGCGCTGGGCGGCAGGTACCCGGGTACGCGGATCACCTACGCCGACCTGTACGCGCCCGTGATCGCGTTCGCGGCGGCGCCGGCACGGTTCGGGTTCGACGGCGCGGAAGGCGCGCTGCGGGACTGCTGCGGCGGCGGCGGCGGGAAGTACAACTTCAACCTGAGCGCCGCGTGCGGGATGCCCGGCGTGGCCGCCTGCGCCAACCCGTCGGCGTACGTCAACTGGGACGGCGTCCACCTCACCGAGGCGGCGTACCACCTCGTCGCCGATGGATGGCTTAGGGGACCCTACGCCCGCCCGCCCATTCTCGGGGCGTAGCGATGCAGATCAGATGCACCTATTAATACCTTGCGGCCGTAGTCACGTAAATAATCTGCCTCAGTTTTGTGTCTGATTTGTGAGGCACTAAGAACCTTTTTTTTCTAAAACATGTCCGTTGACACGTCATTAAAGAGGCTGAAGAACATTTTTGAATTTAATTTAAGGAGGACCCCGACATTGCCAGCATGTGTAAGAACAGTTGCACAAATAGACGGAACCAAACGTGTGTTGGGTCGTCATCTGAACATACTAGAAAACCTGCCGCGGCTGCACGAAGGATGGCAGACTAAGTAGGTAGCCAGTGTTTTCTTCTTTGCATTTTGACCTATGGTCTATATATCGTGCTTCTTACAGAAGTTAATTTTCATCTCCCATATATATTCTAAAGTGAATGCTGCATACCACTCCATTTAATCATTGTGTACAAATCTTGTTGTGCGGGTATTGGAAAATAGTTAAAAAAAATTGAGCTATTACATATGCCATGCTTTGTGCATAAACGCTCTAGGTTATATTCACTCGTATGGGTCGGTACGAGTGAACAGGTATTCGGTACGAGTCAACAGGCATTTGTTTGGCTTATGTAATAAGATTATACAATGCAAATTGCTCAAAAATTCCAAATGGATAGATAAGCATGATATTTGCCTTCTGGTTCTTTGTTTCTCTCTTTGAACAATGGAAGAGAACATCTGTTCGTTTCCTGCTTTAAAGAAAACAATCTGTTAAGTACAAATAAAAATCAATACTATAGTCAATACAGGGTGCAGATAGAGTTCAGGATACAGTTAATTATATCATCTATTGATGATTATGACATGGCCATCATGAGAAAGTAAAAAATTACCCCTAAGGGCATGTGCTTTGTTGTTGTGCACCCTCAGATTCGCTCTAAGATTCGTGCACAGCTGCTGTGCACAAATCTCAGAGCGAATCTTAGGGTGCACAACAACCGAGCATGTGCCCTTAGGGTAAAAAAAAACTGCCTTCCGGACATCATCCACAACTAAGGAAGCAGCACACAGACCTCCGCTTCCCTCAAGAAGCTTCTGGAAGAAAACACACACACACACATATATATATATATATATACCGGTCATTTCATCGCTTTTGTATGCAGGGCAAACCAAGAAAAGTGCCGTACGTGTATTCATACGTACACGTATTGTACCACGTACCAGTACATGCAGGAATTGCGTACATGCATGGCTAACCGCAACTCACGACCATGCATGCTCCCGTAGAAGATTAGCTAACTTGTGTAATAAAATATAATAAATATACCCACGCAGCTGGTGGCGGCTAGGACAACGGCCGGCACGGTCTATGGCCTCGCCGGTGGCGCCTCGCCCGCACCACGGGCAATGAACCAAGAGGGTTCGCGAACCTAGCTCTGGATTAGTATTATGGAAGAGATAGGCACGTGGCCGATGGAGGAATCTGAGACGTGGCCGAATGAGGTGCCAGTTTTTATGGTGCAAAATTCGTCTTGTAAAAGATGCCAAATCTGACAGTGTCATTTAGATTTTCCCCCCGATAAGTAAATAAGTAAATAAAAGAAAGCAAGACGGGCCGCCATGTGAGCAAAGCTCTAAACTGGGCCGTAAGCTGGTCCAGATCCAACCCTACCTGGGCCGGCTCAACCATATCTATCTTAGCCCAACTCGCTTCGTTTTACCCAACCTTCGACTGGGCCGCGGGACTCTTTTTTCACATGCCGTGTCAGGGCACGGAGGATTCTGATGCACTGTAGCGTAGCGGCGGACGGTACTGTTGTAAAACATATAGACTCGTCTTAGAAGAAAGGAGAGGAAGGAATCATAATCCTACGTGGGTTCTTATTAAATTCTTAGGTCTTTATGGGACTATATATATGTGGGAGCTTTATGATGTAATTACCAATATTTAGAGAAATAAAGAATAGTCTTCCTATCTTATCTCTTGTGTCTATGTGTTCTACTTTTATCTAGTATGTTCATCACGAGAGACGGAGAGGAAAATGTCTTAACCGTTAACATGTTTTATAACACGTTATCAGCACGACAAGTTCTACATCGACATCGCCGTTGAAGCCGCTGCTGATCATCGACGCCGACATGTTCCTGGCGTGACTACTTCGACGACATCAACATCTCCGACGTTGTTAGTAGAACGGATCTGCTACATCTACCTGTAACTAATCTGCACTGCATCGACTACACCTTCGCCGTCAAATAGACATATCTACGACAATGACAAACACCCTATGCGGTATGTATCTACTAACCATTGCCCTACGCGGCACGTGAAGTAGATCAACTGACATCCGATCAAAAGAAGGTACGAGAAAACACGTCTCGCAGATTATGTGTTTGTCCTAGCCATTGAGCTAGATTTTATTGGTCTTTTACGTAACATCCATCCAGTATAGACGAGTACATGAAGTACGAACATACATGCATACATGAACAGTACATATGCTTGTATGATGGGTCTAGTACCCATCACGGTTCCATGCAAATTAGGATTAGAGGCTGATCCAGGAAGATCGATCCTCATCGTCATTAAAGTCGCTTGCAGCAATATTAATTGGACTCGAAGATCCAAATTAACAGCCATGAATTGGTATGGAATCCATCAAACATATGTCGGTAAGAAGCCATCAACAATTGTCATTGACGTCCTACTCAAATTCAGAATGCATCCGAGTCACGCGTGGCTTCAAATCCAAACCGTCTTGCTGTACAGCCTACACATCATTGTGTAAAAAGCAGCCCGCATGCTGCCGCTAACTCATCGGATATCTCGCAGTGGTCCGCACGGCTCATGATCCCTGGCTCGAAGCCATTGGCATTGCTGCCACTCCTACTGCACGCGGCCTGCATGCCACAAGACCGTTTGTGGCTAACGTCATGTTCCTCCATTGCGGCTTGCACGCCGCTGCCATCTCCTCGAGCAACACGGACTGCAAGTCGACAAGTCGCTGAACGATCTCACAAAGCATCGCGGTCTGCATGCTGCCTCCGTCGCATGCCACAAGCCCCTAGTCGCGGGCTTGCGATACAAACGATGTTGTTGTATTCTCCACGGGTTGTACGTCGCCGAGTCATCCACAGCTCACATGCCATCAAACAATGCGGCCTGCACACCGTCTACTCATCGTCCACCCACACGTGGCTTGCTAATCCTCTCGCATTGGTCAGCAATAATACGCATAACGAAGCCCTAAAGGACGTTGCATTACATACAACATGAAGTTGTGTATTAGTACTATCTAGTACAATCATCTAGTAGATTGATCCTGTTGATTATACATCTGTTAGATAAGCAGTTAGTAGATTGATTTAGAAACCCGTAGTTCCTACATGCTAATCTAATATATGGTCTTGTTTTTGTCTGGCCTTTGAAATTTTGAACCTGTAGTTTGAACATGCATGACGGATTATTAATTTGATGCTAGCATGGAGCTCATCACCGTGGTTAAGCATGAAGCTTGCAGCTACATGAGCCACAAGTTACTTAAATTTCTGGAAGAAATTGTGTGTAGGCTTTAAACAGTAAAATCCTTCTGTTTGTATGCATTTATAATATTTAATTTATGTTTATACATATGTACCATGTGTTGATATTTTATTATGCTCTTTTGAATGCATTTATCTACCACACATTATGAATTATATATCATGTAATTATAAGAATGAAATCTTGAATGATTACACTAGAAACATGGTATAAGGTATATGAGCTCTCTATAAATCCTGCAGACCTTAGACTTATCACCTTTGAGAGGCTCATATTCGTTTTTTCTAGCATAATAAATTTTTGGGATGAATGAATGGTTGTATTAATTCTGAAAATTTGTATATACCATAATCCTAAAAAAAGCTAGGATGTTCTAAGAGTATTTTGTATAACCATCCGCTATCTTTTTGCACTTTGCCACTTGTTTACATGCAGTAAACTCATACGCACATGATGATTTTCGGTAATAATAATATATGCATACCTTCGTGAAGAAGGAATATCCTGGATTTATCATGAATGACAGAATTATATAGCATGGTCATTTATTAAATCCTAGTAGGATATTCTACTGCCACTGAAGTGGAGTGGACCTTAAGCATTATAGTTCCTTATATTACTCTCAAAGAATGAGTATGTGACCAAGCTAGATCCCAAAGGTCTTATGGGACTCTCTGAATGAGAAATTCTAGAAGATATCCTATATTATGATTGCATATTGCCAGAAATATTGAAAATTAAATTTTCAAGCTATATGACCATATGGGATATAATGCTGCTCTATAAACAAATACAATAAGCTTGAAGCTTTGTGATTAAAAGTCATAGAAGACGAGATGGTAAATAAGACTTTGTCTAATTCTAGAAGAAATATTTCTTGAAATAGAAAGATCGAGAGCATTGAAGTACTAGAAGTATTCAAATTTATCATCCATAATTACTCAGTATCAAGTAGAAAATGAGTTAGAATTTTTGGGACCGCATTGTGAATCAGGATATATGACTTGGATATGTTGTACTCATAGAAGGATCATGATTACATATCACAACTATGAAGTAGAGCATACATGAAACTGCTAAATGTCAAGCATAGAAGCTAAGACATGTAAGAATAGATAAGAATTAGAATATTTAAAGGTTCTCTTGAAGAAGAGCTTAGCTATGTGCTTATAGACTTGTACGTCTTTAAACTTACTATCCTAAAATAGTAGTAGTGGTGGTGGTGATGGTGCTTTAAGTTTTAGTTCCCGTTGAATTAAGTGGATTATGTAAACCCATAGAAGAGTTAATGGTTACTTTATTAGCTTGAAGACTAATATGAAGCGTTTATATATTCTTTGTTGCAATTCTTACTTGCAGTAACATGTGTCAGTCTTGCATGGAATAAATAAATTTTATAAGTTTCACATATAAATTATTATCTATTTTTGCCTATCTAAATAAGTTTGTAATGATTTATCCATAAAGAAGCCTCGATTAACCATAAAGGTTATAGT